GTCAAGGGCTACACGCGGAAGGCGGCGGCGCTGGAGGCCCTTCGGGATTTCTCCAAGGCCATGGAGGTTTATCAGCGGGCGCTGGAGCTGGATCCCTCCTGCAAGGTCCGGGGGTGCCCCCAAACTCCTCCAAACCCCCCAAAAACACCTCGGGGACCCCCTGAACCCCCCTTTTTTCCCCCCCCAGGAGGCGGCGGAGGGCTACCAGCGGTGCCTGCGGGGGCAGAGCCAGAGGCAGGACACCCCCGAGGAGGTGAAGCGCCGGGCGATGGCGGACCCCGAGGTGCAGCACATCATGAGCGACCCCGCCATGCGCCTCATCCTGGAGCAGATGCAGAAGGACCCCCAGGCCCTCAGCGAGTCAGTTCCTACCCCAAAACGTCCTCAAATAACCCCAAAAGGGAGCCTGTGGTGCCAAAACCCCACAAAACGGCCACAAAATGGCCCCATGTGGCCCCAAAATAGACCCCATGGCACCTAAATGGGCCCAAATGGCCCCAAAATGGCCCCATGTGGTCCCAAAATGGAGCAAATGGCACCAAAATGGCCCCAAAATGGAGCAAATGGCCACAAAATGTCCTCAAATGGCCCCAAAACCCACCCAAATGGCACCAAAATGGCCACAAATGGCCCCAAAACCCACCCAAATGGCCCCAAAATGGCCACAAATGGCTCCAAAAGGGACCCACCTGGCACTAAAATGGCCACAACGGCACCAAAACTCCGCCATGTGGCCCCAAATGGCCCCAAAATGGGCACAAATGGACCAGATGGCCCCAGAATGGCACCAAAATGGCCACAAATGGCCCCAAAATGGAGCCCACATGGCCCCAAAACGGCCCCAAACCGCCCCAAAAGGGACCCAGATGGCTCCAAAATGGCCCCAAATGGTGCCAAAATGGATCAAATGGCCACAGAACAGCCCCAAAATGGCCACAAATGGCCCCATGTGGACCCAAAATGGCCACAAATGGTCTCAAAACCCACCCAAATGGCCCCCAAATGGAGCCCATGGTGCCAAAACCCCACCACGTGGCCCCACATGGCTTCAAAATGGCCCCATGTGGCACCAAAATGGACCAAATGGCCCCAAAACCCACCCAAATGGCCCCAAAATGGAGCCCATGGCACCAAAACCACCTCAAATGGCCCCAAACTGGCCACAAATGGGCACAAATGGCCTCAAAACCACCTCAAATGGCCCCAAACCCAGGGGTCACCAGGACCTTCTGGAGCTGATGGAGCTCCTTGGGGGGTCCCCGGGGGGTCCCCGATTGTCCCCAGGGGGTCACCAGGGTCCCAAGGGGTCCCCAAAGTCCCCCCAAGGTCCTGGGGGGTCCCCAAAGTCCCCCCAAGGTCCCCCCGAGGTTCTGATGGGGCTTCAAGGGGTCACCAGGACCTTCTGGAGCTGATGGAGCTTCCTGGGGGGTCCCCAGGGGGTCCCCAAGTCCCAGGGGGTCTCACAAGGGGGTCCCCAGTTGTCCCCAGGGGGTCCCCAAGGTTCTGATGGGGCTTCCAGGAGCCACCAGGACCTTCTGGAGATGGGGGTTGGGGGGTCCCCAGGGGGTCCCCGATTGTCCCCCTATGACCCCCCCATGACCCTATGACCCCCCGTGACCCC